ACAAAGAGCCTTCTCAGTTTAGACAGAGGCTTTACTTTCTCATACGTAGAGTCAATACAGCAAAATAGCCCCGAGTAAAGGGGGAGAAACTGGAACAAATTATCTGGATTTTCCTAAATTAGAGTCTCAGATTGGCTCCATATGTTTTTACTTAAATACACATAGCTAGATATCCAAAACATACATGTGCCTATGTAAATATAAACTGTATAATTTATGAATCTTCATCAACAAACCAAATATGTGTTTAGCACCCACAATTGTTTTTCACACTAGGCACAGAATATATGTAGTTCTGGGTAATATATGATAAAAAATAAGCATATGATAAAAATCTAGGCCACCAGGAAGTCACATTCCTTTTTTAAAAAAATTTAAAATAGATTTTTATAGAGAGGGAGGGAGAAAGAGAGAGAGAGAAACATTGATCAGTTGCCTCTGGAATGCACCCTGACCTGGGATTGAACCCAAAACCTGGATATGTGCCCCAACTGGAATTGAACCCGCCACCTTGTCGCGTATGGCCCAGCAGACTGAGCCACACTGGCCAGCATGAGCTCCACATTCTTATTGGATAGATGTGATTAGCATACATGAAACATTAGTAAATAATGTAGTAGAGTAACATCACTAAGAACCAAACTAATCAATAAATGAGGAGGAGTTTAGAAAAGAGGACTATCAGTGAGGGCTAAAACTGACAAAAAATATTTCATCAATGAGGAAGAACTTAATACTAGGATTTAGAGATGAGGATATTTCAGAGGAAGCCCAGAGTATTCATAAGAAGGTCAAGAAAACAGCATGTTTAGAACAGGGGACATTTACTATTTATTGAGTATAAAAGACAAGTTTGAATAGTTAAGGAGAGTTGTGAGAGAAATGAACTACAAATATGAAAGTCAAACAGAGAAACTTTAACATAAAGAAAAATTACGGAAATTGACTTGAGAAGAAAACCTGTTATAGTAGTTATTATTTTAATTATATAATCTAAACAACCATCGCATGCTCAAAAATGGTCTTCGCACACATCAAAAGATTATCAAATACATATATATTTTCATATTTAAAATTAAATGTTTAAGTTATGCATGTATAAATTATGATGCCCTGTCTTAACCAACTTTATGGGAACTGCTAGTCTTATCATATTTAATAAATAATTTCTATTGTACTCATTATCCAACAAATAATATATTATTTCCTCTATTATCTCCAAATATAAAGTTTTCCATAATATCACACATAAAATCTTATGCTTTTGAATCCTAAAAACCATTTGAATTTGGGACTGGTAGAAATATATACAAAATTATTTGAATTGCTAATTTGAATTGCTATTAAGTAATTATAACATACAAATTAAACCTACCTCATCTGTATCCTTAAGAAAAAGAAAAGATCTATCATATCCTGATTTTTGATTTTCTTCTGGTAGTTCTAAAGGAACAAATACGAACATAAATGATATTTCTACACTATTAGACTACTTTTAATTTAACTCCATAAACTATTTTCTCTACATATAGTAAAATTTTTAGAAATGTAGTTTGATAATCTTGTTTGCTTACATAGAATTGCTTTCACATTTTTAGAGCTAAATATATTCTAGAATAATGTGCTTTAGAAGTGAATTTCTATTAACAGAATATAACTTTTTAAAAAAATATATTTTTTATTGATTTTGGGAGGAAAGTAGAGGGAGAAAGAAATAGAAACATTAATGATGAGAGAGAGTCATTGATTGTCTGCCTCCTGCATGCCTCTACTGGGGATTGAGCCTGCATCCCGGGCACGTGCCCTGACTGGGAATCGACCTGTGACCTCTTGGTTCATAAGTTGAGACTCAACCACTGAGCCACACCAGCTGGACAACAAAATATAACTTTTGATTAATTACTATAATACGATAACCCCATTTCAAATTATGAGTTTTATTAATGTGGATTATCATTTAATGGACTGTCTTGAACTAGGCATAATGTAGGGTAAAGCATACAGACTTTGCATTTAGATAGCCTGGGACCAAAACCTACTTTTCTTGTATGTGAGTTATGTAGCCTTAGGAAAGTTATTTAATCCCTGTTAAGTAGAAATGATAGTCCTTATTTTAATATGGATGCTGTGAGACTTAAATGAGATAAAAAATAGATGTAACAAACAAATACAGTGTGTGGTAGTCATTCAATCAATGGTTATTTGTTGAGCACCTACAATATGCCAGGCACTGGTACTAGACTCTAGAATGGTAATTCCTGCCCAATGATGCATAAATTTTAGTGAGTAATACAGAAAATAAACAAGAGACAAAGAAGTGAATAATTATAAATTGAGATATATGCTGTGAAAGAAATAAATAGATGTTGGTGAGTGATAATATACATGGAGGTATAATTTAGATAGGGTAACTGCTTTGTACTGAATGTTTTTGTGCCACCCAAAATTTATATGTTGAAGCTCTGATCCTCAATGTGATATTTGGAAGTGAGCCTTTGGGAGGTAATTAGGATTAGGTGAGGTAATGAGGGTGGGGCCCCCATGATGGGATTAATGCTTAGAGAGAGTCAACACAAAAAGAAAGGTGGCTGTCTGCAAACCAGGGAGAGGACCTTCCCCAGAACCTGACCATACTAGCACCCCAATCTCAGACTTCCAGCCTCCAGAACTGGGAGAAATAAATATTTGTTGTTTAAGCCACCCATGCTATAGCAGGTTGTTATAGCAGCCTGAACCCAGAGAGAAATTGGTACCGAGAAGTGGGATGCTGCTGTAACAAATACATGAGAATATGCAAGTGGCTTTGGAAGTGGGTAGAAGCTGAAAGAGTTTTGATGTGCATGCTAGAAAAAGTCAGTAAGTCCATAAAGGGATTTTAAAAGCAATTCTGGTGAGAGCTAAGAAAGAGGAGAGGTACAAAGAAAGCTTCCATTTTCTTAGATAATACATAAATAACTATGTGCAGAAATGCCAGTAGAAATATGAATGGTAAAGGCCATTATGATGAACTGAAAAGAAATTCAGAATTTTTCTTTCTAGAAAAATAAACATAAAAATATCTTCTTAATTATATAAATTACCCATTCAGATATTTAATATCTCTTTCTCTTAGGAAATTCTTCTTTATAGCTCACTAAAAATTTTCACACTGCAGTTATAATCCACTAGAGGCCCGGTGCACAAAAATTTGTGCACTGGGGAGGCGGGGGGGAGCATTCCTCAGCCAGGCCTGTGCCCTCTCACAGTCTAGGAGCCCGCGGGGGGAGCAGGCCTAAGTCGTCAGTTGGATATACTTTAGCACTCCCACAGAGGTGGGAGAGGCTCCCAACACTGCTGCTGCACTGCCAGCCGTGAGCCGGGCTTCTGACTGAGCAGCGCTCCCTGTGGGAGTGCACTCCTGCATTGGGCATCTGCCCCCTGGTGGTCAGTGCACATCATAGCAACCGGTCGTTCGCCGTTTGGTCGATTTGCATATTAGCCTTTTAGTATATAGGATATGAGTGAAATCATATGGTTCTTGGCTTTCTTTGACTTATTTTGCATAACACAATCTTCTCAAGGTCCATCCATGCTATTGCAAATGACAGCAT